TCCTTCACGTATAATTCCAGTAGTAAAATATCACCAGATATAGCAGCATAATGAATTGGTAGCTTACCATTACTGTCAGCTTGATGAGGGTCTAACTGATAGGTAGTTATTAATTCTTTAACAAGAGATAAGTTAAGAGACAGTGAGGCATAATGTAAAGCAGTGAGGCCATTCTTAGTAACTGCAATAGGAGACAAACCTTGTTCAGTAATAAGATACTGAACTAAATCAAAGTTACCACTAAATGCAGCATGATGTACTAACGTGCATCCTTCATTATCTGTTTTATTAATATCACAATGCTGTACCTCAATGAGATATTGAGTGATATCAATATGACCATCACGACAAGAATGATGAAGACATGTCATACCTTCATTATCAGTGATATTAGGATCACTGTTATGATTATTAATAAGATATTTAACAGAATTAATACTACCTGACCAGCAGGAGTAGACTAATGGTGTACGACCATAAGTATCAGTATCATTAGCATTGAGATTATACTGAGATATGATATAACTTAATACACTAGTAGAACTTGACCAGGCAGCATAATGTACTGGAGACATACCATCATTAGTTAATGTACAATTGATATTATATTCTTCTAATGCTTTCACTAGTAATGTACTGCCACTGCGTGATGCTAAATGAAGTAATGACTTACTATCATTTGTAGTGGCATTGATGTCAAAGTTAGGGCAAGTGCTAGCTTTCTTGAGAAGTGAGGAAAACATTTTAACTCTTTCATTTCGTTTAATAAAATCAATATTTTGTGTTATGCCAGTATCATTAATAATATCAATAACTGGTGCATCACTTTGTGCCATAAGCTTACTATACACAATACCATATGGAATATGTATAGCTGCATCACATGCATAATGTAAACATGACCAACCAATATTATTATTAACTAATAATGCTTCATTACCTTGAATACTAACAATATACTCAACAACTGATGATGAAGCATACCATGAAGCAATATGAAGTGGAGTCCTACCATATCGATCCTTTACATCAATGGATAATTGATATCGATTTAAAAGATACTTTAAAAGCTCAACATTATTACTCATAGAAGAGTAATGCAATATGCCAGATTGCCAAAAATCAGTAGAATCTGGTGAGAAGACATTTAATGATTCAAGCTTGTGGACTAATGCTAACTCTCCACTTTGACAAGCTAACAATGATAAAGAAGCACCTTCACAATTAATCTGAGAAGTATTACAATTTCTCTCAATAAAGAATTCCACTAGGTCAGAATGGCCCCCCATTGCTGAGTACAGTAATGCAGTGTTATTGCTATTGTCTGGTTGATCAGGAGGAACGTCACACATGTCTACTAGATATTGTACTATAGATAAGTGGCCTTTATAAGATGCCATATGTATACTAGATACACTATTATCATCACCTTCATTAGGATCAATACCATATTGATGAATGAGTAGTTGAAGGATCTCAATGTGTCCACCGTATGATGCAGAGTGTAATGGAGTCCAACCATGAAGACCACGATGATATGTGCTGTAGCCAAACTTGTTAAGAAGCCATTGTACTTCATCTTTTAATCCTCTCCAAGCTGCTTCATGTAATGGTGTACTGGTATTCTCATACCATAATGGATCACATATATCTATAAATGAAGAATATTATTAGTAATACAAGTTATGTATGGAGGGATTGACTAAAGGTCAGTTCATGTACTTACCAATATCAGTGGATGAGTGCTTAACCTCTTCTATTGAGAACTGTAAAATTAATAATAATATTAAAATTTGTATTTACAATAACAAACCTCTCTTAGATCATATTTATCTTCACCACATGTTAGTTCAGTGATACCAATACTAGCTAACTGTTGCTGTAGCTTTGTACTTAGAGGAAATAATAAAGAATAAAGATACTCAGGAATGAGGTAACCCAAACAGAGAGAGCCAATGTGAACAAAACAGAAGTAAAGATCATACTCAGGAACATCCAATCCTTTTGGTATTGCTCTACGAAAGAAGAAAAGGTCATCGAGTGTGTAGTCATCTCTGTCAACTTTAGCAATCATTACTCGTGTACCAGGAGGAACACCTTTTATACCAAACTGTACAGCATCAGCATCTTTCAATAGTCCACCACTGTTTATAAAATAATCCTTTAACTTCTCTTCATACTCCGACCAAGTTCTCTTCAGCAAACGATTTTCAGGTAGAAATACTCCAACAAGTTTTATCATTAGTTTATAGTTGAACCATGATACATACTTGTCTTGTAGCACTGTGAATAGTTTTGGTATCGTTTTTATGCATTCAAACTCTTCCCTAACTGCTTGAGCTGTTGATTGCTTTCTCATTTTAGGACCAAGTATTGACTTGACATGTGTTTGAAGGTAGTCAATGATTTCAGGTAAATCACTTGATTCGAAGGACTTTTTTGTAATACGAAATGCCTCGTCAAATTCTTCCTGTAGATCATGTAGCTCGCTTGTCAAGTAGAAACTTTTTTCAGAAGAGCCATATCCATCAGCACCTAAAATGAATTTTTGTTTGTCATTGGATATTATAGCTACACATGTATAAGATCATTTTCTGGCATGCAATGTAAGTGAGGACTAATTTGAATGTTAACCATTTTTATATGAATTAATAAAATTGGAAAATGGTTGATGGGCTAATTTTGGTACTTTTACATTTTTATTACGTTGTTATTACAAATAATATGAATTGTTTGATTTTTCATGTATTAGCATACCATGTAGCTTGAAAATTTGATGGAGAAAACTTTGGTGCATTTGGAAAATTAAGGTGCATTTCAAAATTTTAGTCTCTAATTTTTTGTAGGAGCATGCTGCACATGGTTTAAATTTTGTCAAAATTTAACCTTTTAGGGCCAATTTGTGAAATTCTAACACTGCAAATTTCTAGCTATACAGTATACTAGAAGAATGTAAAGCATTAAGGAGCTCCACCTCCTAGCCATGCCTCCTAGTCAGGCCCAGACGTACTTGCATAAATACTTCACTTGTAAGGGCTACACTCTACTCTTAAAAACTACTGGAATCTCATGACTCATAAAAATGATTAATAACAACAAAATTACAAAAAATTTTCAAACCAATTATTTGTAGGTTGAAGACTTCCCAATCTACGGTAGCATGAAATTACTGTAGAGAATTTAGTTTTGTGATTTGTGAATGTATAAAAGCATAAAATTTAAATTGCAAATAATGAAATTCATGCTTGGCCCCTATTAAAACTGCAGAAGTTTAATCTGCAAATGAACTAGTTATTTCAAGGATTTGCAAAATTATTCTCCATAAAATATGGTATTACTTACATGTTGAACTATTTGATTTTCCACTTCCAGGAGACATTGCATCATCAAAAGGAGAGATATCTCTTCTATCGGCTGATGGTAGTGGGAGTAAAATTTCATTATAATTTGAGTTGTATCCTCCTACATAAAATACTCACTATCATTCCTAATTTGGTAAATATACCTGATGAACCAGGTGACATTCCTTCACTATGAATAACAGTAATAGAGACTCCCACGGTAGCTGGTAGAGGATGTTTACAAGCTATTTCATCAGCTAATGCTGGATTTCCTCCTCCTTCTTTAACAGCTACACACACCATTCTCCAGCAGGGAATACCATGACGTTCATAATCATAATTTTTTATTAGCCAATACTCTATTGCTTTCTGCAGGCAAGAAATTGCATTTCCATGAGAGCTAGCTTCTATTGTATTAATGTCAGTTATTCTCAAACGTAATGAAATGGCGAATGACTTCCAACTAGCAGAAATAGGCTTCACTTTATCATACACTGAGTGATACTCATCAATACCTGAAATACACTTTATAAAATGTCAAATATACTCACAAACTCACTTAGTTCTTTATTGCAAACGTTTACAAAAGGAGCAGAGGAAGAAGGGCTTGTAGCTCGGCTTGTAGCCATAGCTGGGGTAGAAAGTTTATACACCCACGCAAAACTCCAGCCCCACCCATAATTCTAGTGATAAAATGGCGGCCATTCTGCAAGTAAGAAATACATTGTTTTCTTCTTAAAGTATATTTTGTCTCTTCTCTCCATTAATAAATTATTCAGGACCTTCATACTAACCAATGACAGCAACTAATTACTGTACAGTAACTGAACCAGTAAAAGCTAC